ATATATATAAAATATCTCCTTAATGCTTTTTTCATATTGATGATGTGTTGAGATAGTATTTTGGATATGCTGGGTTAAAGAAAATATATTATTAAAATTAATTTCATGCGTTTCCTTTTACTTTTTAATGTGGCTAATGGAATATCTGAAATTACACATGTGGCTCACATCCTATTTCTATTGAACGGTGCTGATCTCGAACGTAGTCTGGCATATAGTATGTGCTCAACAAATATTTCTTGAACGAATACATCCGGAGAACAGCTGTGTACCCACATTTGAGTTTGTTGGAGATCCAGGCTTTGCACACCTGACTGATCAACATCAGAGAGACACTATTGCACACCGTGAGCAAGGATAAGTGCTTGGGCCTCTGGGACGCCTTGGGTTCCTTATCAACATATTTTACTAAGCACGACTCTGGGTCCATTGGTGGAGGAGCAAGTAATGCCATTCAGCAGAAGTGCTCTGTCTGGAGAAGCAAGGGTGCCGTGGTCATCTAGCTCTGACTTGGGGGTGGGGGCCATTAGGAAAAGGATCTATTTATTTCCAAATGAGACTGAAAGGCAGGTAGGTATTAGCTAGGGTGGGGAGGGGGGTGCTGCAGAAAGAGGCTGCTCCAGGCAAAGAAACAGCACGTTCAAACATCTGGAAGGAAATTGGTCACTGTGTTTGTAGGAAGAGAAAAGTCAGTATGGTTAGGAAGCCCGTGCAGCAGGGGTGAAGCAGGGCCAGGAGAGGGCAAGACTTCAGAAGGCTCATTCAGGTGCTTGACTTACCCTGATGACAGGGAGCCCCTGGGGGCCTAAGTAGGAGGACTATTTAGAAAGACCCCTCTGGCTGCTGTGTGCAGTGCAGGCAGGGGTTTCCAGGAAGAAGAGCGCAAGGAAAGGAGGACAAAGAAGGAAGGGCCAAGGACGCAGGAGAAAATCAGGCAGAGCGGGTCGCAGCAGCCTGCTCAGGGGGGTTGAACAAAGTCCAGGGTGCAGTCACATGGTGGCCCCTGGATGTCACTTAGGGCCTGGGTGATCTTACGGAGAGCAGCCCCACTGGGGTGGAGAGGGAGGAAGACAGATGGGGACAGAGAAGAGACAGGAGCAGGACCAGAGGTGGCCATGTAGGTGGCTCTTTATACTCTCAGAGGAGAGAAGAGGGTGGTGGCTACAAGGAAATGCAGGGCCAGGGCACGTTTCAGGGCAGCTTTCTTTTGAGGTCGGCTGGGACTTAGCCGAGTTTATGGACTGCGGGGGGGCGGGGGGGGAACAGCAGCAGGGTGAGGGGGTGAATCTAGAAAAGAGTCCTGCCCTCTGACCCTACCGCCAACCCCTACTCTACCTCCACCAAAGGGAGGGCTTGGCCACTGCCCAGGCCACAAGGCTGAGTGTGGGTGGTATCCACAAGCCCTACCGCACTGAGGCCTGCCCAGCGTGAAGGGGCGCCTGCCTCCTCTCCCTGTGGGCTCGGTCAAGAGGGGAGACCTTCCTGCAATGCCCCTGCAGGTAGGGAGGGAGCCAGTGTGGCTGCTGCCGGCACTGAGTCCTGACCACCCACCCGGTACATATCAGAGATCTCTCTCTGTCTCTCATACACACACGCACACGCGGCTCACACAGGGCATACAGATGCCTGCACAGACGCAGACCTACAGGGAATACACACGCACACACAGAGAGCCCACATAGGATGTACACACACACGTACACACACGGCTCACGTGCACGCACGCAAAGAGCTCACACAGGTTTTACATGTGCATGTGCACACGCAGCTCATACCACACATATGTGCGGTGTGTGGCCACACACAGGGAGCCCACACAGAGGCCAGGCCTCAGCCCCAACAAGGAGAGGCCCTCGGGAGGCTGGTATCACAAGTACTTTTTCTGGGCACCACCTGCACCTCCCCTTCCGGCTCTGCGGTGCCCTCCTCCTGTGCACGTTCTCTCAGCCCCAGGCCTCCCCCCTGCCACCTGGATCAGGGCAACAAGGACCTGCCACAGTTCAATCTACGGGGCCCCCACGCAACCGAGCGCACTCGGGAAGTGCTGGGGACGCTGCAGGGCAGGGTCCCGGGGACAGTTCTCCGGG